TACTGAAATGTTTTTACAGCATTGTCCTCAAATGCTTGTTGATTAAAAAAATCTCTCATCTTTCTGAAACCATCATGGTGACACTTTGCTGATAGTATATCTTACAATTAAATGAGCATATCACCAACCACTCATTTGTCTTTCCGATCTAATAATCAATAAAATAAGTCACATTACTTCCTTGAAACTACTCACCAAAAAGAAATAATAAGTAATGTTCAGTTTATATTCCATTGAATCAAGATGACTATGATGTCCAGCTTTTAACTGAATTGAATTATGGAGATGGTGAAGGAGACAGAATGCTTAGAAATATTAACTTCAATTATGTAACTATGGAAACCTGTCTTGACATTATTTATATGTGGCAGCCTTGGAGTTATATACCCCGTCTGTATAAAGAGATGTTTTAGAACAAACACATTCTCTTCACTTGTCCTCTCACCCCTCATCTGGAGAGATTTTTATTTATGCATTAGTCGACCTTTTCGGCCATTAGAACCATCTTGCTTCAGCCATTAATTAACACAAGTACCATAATTTAATAGACTTAATACTACTTGATGCCCTTTAATGTACCTTCCATTAGTGATATTATTGTAGTATTACCCTGTAAATTAAAATGAGATCAAGACTAAGAGAGCCACTCTTTAATTAAGGTACTGGCACTCTGCTCTCGTCCATTATTCACGAGAAAAATCACCCTGATTTACTGAAGCAGGACATCCATAAGTCAGAATTAGTTCTTGAGGACTATTAGGTTTATTGAACAATGTAAGTACCATGGACTTGCTGAGATTGCCAGCAGTCCGGTTTCCTCCTTCTCAGCCATGACATTAATAAATACACAATAAGAGGAAGTCGGTGGAAGCAAACTAAGTGCCTGGCAAAAGAGGACCCACATTTTTACGATATGATTATGGTTTCTGTCATCAAGAAAATGCACATCGCATGCATCACTTGTCCAAATGAATGCAGTCACCACATTAGTGACAAATGTAAAACCATTATTAGGGCACACAATTCTAAGTAGCATCAAACATAAAGGTGTGTGCAAACATGCACATAAAACCAGTGTGTTAGAATTCACAGTCAGTGAATTTAAGCAAAGAATCACCAACGATTTACGTTTCATACGTGAATGCTTCAAGGAAAAACATCCGATATCCTTTGTGCCATTATTTTATGGAGGTTTATATCCCATCTCCATCCATCTTCCCATAATAACTCATCCCAATTCCCACAGGATGACAGGGCAGGCGGGGTGACAAGAAAAACATCATTATCATCAGATAGAGCCATGTGAAGGCATGTTGAAAGGTTATGATTATTTCCCAAAGGGAATATGGAGGGAGGTGTGTCTGGAAGTAAATACCACAGTTAGATTGTGGAAAGTCTGAACTCATGATGTTCCTGAAGTGAAATATTTGGAACTTTTCCCAAAGACCAGATATTATTTTCTATATGAAAACAAGCACATAAACATGAGCTGTTATTTTTACTGACATTACCAATGGCTAAATGATTACCACGCTGCTGAAAGGCCCTGGAACCAGGCAGCAGCTCAACACTTCCCTTTGGTGGCTCCATCATAGCAGACCTTCCTTACATTCCTTCAAAGCCAGAGACACGCCTGAGCCATCCCGGCTTGCTCCCTTAGTCCCTCCCCCATCACTAAAAATACCCAGGCCATCTGGCGCCTAGTGTAGTACGTGCCAGCATCAGCTTTGCCCTGAGGAATCTGGACAGGCTTTGGAAGTGACGGAGTGGGACCTTATGGAAAGGGATCACCTCTATTGGACCTTTCTCCTGTGCCCAGCTGTTTTTCAACAGTTCAGAGTTAACTGGTGAATAAGAAAAGACAGCGAAGGTAGGTCAGGCAAGGGAGGGGGACTCGTTCAAATCCCCCAGAGTCACTGAAATGTGGTTGGAAGACACAACTGGGATGCTTGCAAAAGAAAAGGGGCCGGGATGGTGAGAGTCTATGTTTCTAAGATCCCTCCTTTAGGAGATGGCTGGCCTCATCCCAGTGAGAACAATAGCATCACCTTTCCCTTGTTTGCATGCTTTTTATACTTTCCGTTCTTTAGAGGAGGCAAAAATGAACATTCAATGAGAAACATAAGGTCTGTCCCCCCCCATCAAACACCCACTCACATACAGAAACGCCCTTTGCCCTCAAGTTGATTGCAACCCACGATGACATTCGAGGACACAGTAGAAGTGCCCAGGAAGGTTCTCACAGTCTCACAGAGGGAGTGACTGATGGGTGGGCTTGTGACTGACACAGATGAGCCAAGGAGCTTCAAAGGACAGCCTTCTGAACCAGTGGCAATGCATGTGGCTGGGGCAGCTGTGTAACAGCAATGCTGGTTCAGATTAAAGAGGGCTCAGACCATAAAGCGAAGGAAATGAAATAACCCTGCCTAATAAGGTAGACCACACTAAGATGGCCGTTTCGGATCTTGCTGGCTAATTCTGATCGTTATCCTTTTAGATGGACAAGATATTTACTACCTCCCTGTGCTATGCTACTGTTAATAATATCAACATGAATGATTCTCATATTTGGTATGAAACAATATTCCCTCAAGAACAAGATCCTGGAAATGGAGAACGCCCTGCTAAAATGACTATAGGTAGTTGTGAGGGGGCATCGGGTCCATTTGGAGTCACAGGGACCCCGTGAGACAAAGAACTGCCCCATTGGGTTTCCTAGGGTGTGATCTTTTCAGAAGCAAATCAGTAGTCCTGTCTCCTCAGAGGGGCCGGGTGAATTCGAACTGCCAACCTTTCCATTAACAGCTGAGGACTTAACCATCTGCCCCACTTCGTTCATGACGATAATTGTTGCATTTTATTGTCAATGAAAAACTCCAATTTGAGGCAACAGTTCTCTACAACCCACTATTTGTGTCCTCGCCCCCAAATCCATCAACTGTTCTCTGTCACCCGGGACCCACAAGCTCACTATTGTCCCAGTCCACAACCCCGTCAGGATATATCACGAAACCCTCCGTTACAGGCTTCATTTTAAAGCCACCATAACTAACTCTGCTGGACTCTTCACATGGAATACGAGTCCACCATAACTAACTCTGCTGGACTCTTCACATGGAATAAGAGTCCACCATAACTAACTCTGCTGGACTCTTCACATGGAATAAGAGTCCGGAGCAAGACTCCGAGGAGTTGGCTACCCATCCCCTCCACTTTTGCACAACGAAGATTTTGAACTTTAGAAGGGAGGGTGGTGAAGCTGCATCTCACTTTAGCCCTTTGGCCGTGCTCTCAAGCAAGGGCATAGCGCTTGGTAAGGGAGAGGGTAGGCAGAAGAGAGGAAGATTGTCAAGGAGGTAGTTGACTCCGTTGCTGCCACAATGGGCTCAAGCCTCATCATGATGGTGCACATGGCACAGCACCAGCCAGTGTTTTCTTCTCTTGAGCATGGGGTCACTCTGCGTGGGAACTGCCTCGATAGAACCCAACACAACAAGATTCTGAAACCTTTGTTACTGAACCCAGGTCATTCTCAACACCCCATTCTGTGTGCCTACCCTGGCCCCTGCTCGAAGATCAGAGACCTCGGCTTTCTCTAGTACAGCGACGCAATGTCATCGTAGTCAAAGTTAGGCTGTGACAACATCTGAAAGGTCAGAAAGTTTCAACTCCTTTCCAATGTATGAGGACAGGGTTTCTTCACGGGATACCAGAAACCACTAAATTTGATGAACTTTGCCTCATGGCATCAAACCTGCATGATTTAGGCGTCACTGTCTCTATCTTCTTTGTATTGTGAACTGGGTGATGGATTCAAAGCAAGTCCGTTTTCCACTTCACAATACACGCACGTTTGTCTTGTCTCCCTGGCCACAATCCCCCCAAGAAACACCTCTCACCCACTTCCCCCTGGGATCCCGTTTCCACTCCTCCTTCGTTCCTAGCGCTTCTAAACTCAGTCCTTGATTTAATGCTATCTGTCTTGGCATTTTTAGAATGATTGTTGCTTTTCTTCCACACTTCACTATATATTCTGACCTCTACTTTTCCCTACTTATTATCTTAGGCTTTGAGTCCCTTATTTTATCACTTTGAAAGCATACAGCATTTGAAAAATCTAGTGTAGACCTCTCTGTGAGTAGTCTTGGTTCTCATTTTCAAGTTGTTCATTAAACCTCTTCAAAGTTCTTGGAAATTTACTCAACTGTGTCTTTGGTATAGTATCAAACCCAAACAGCCTCGACTGTGACCAGGAAGGGGTTACGACTTTAGTCTCTGGCCTGTCTGAACTTCACCTACACCATAGAGGAGACAAGATACAGGCGTGTGCTTTAAATGATATCCTATTTATTTTAAGATCCCACAAAACCACAAAACAAAGCCCCTGCTCCTCTCCAACCCATGGTCCCTAGATGTTTTGGGTTCTTCATTCATAAATTTGAGGAAATGCAGCTTTCATTTCCGGGATATTTTTGTGCGATTTTAACAAGGCACAAGATGAAGAGTTACACCACATGGGAGCCCTCTCTCTGGAGTACAGTCGAGTCTTGAGTGAGGAGGAAGAAGCAAAGGCACAGGTTTCCAAGAATCTCCAAATCTACATTTGAACACACACGACATGGTACATTTCTTATTGTCCACTCCCTTACGGAGCAGCCTGCTCCGTTCCCCTGGGCTTCCCTGCCTACAGAGTGCAAATCGCCGCCCGGCCTAGGCAGTTCCTTTGCCTCCACGAAGATGCTTATTCCTGCACATTTGTTTAATAACGAGGACTCTTGCCAGGTTTTATGGCAGTAAGTCTGAGATTACAAATTACTGAATCACTGCGGAATAAGAAAGGTCTCAAATGCCTTCAGCATAGCTATGGGCTGGAGTTTTTGAGGAAACGTTTCGGTAGAACATGACCCATCAAAATGACATGTCACTCGACAGCCAAGACACCTAGACCCCGATTCTTTCCTTGGCCACACTCATTTTCTTTCCAGCCGGGGATCTCTTACCTTCCTTGTACCTTTACGTCGGAGATGGCGTAAAAGTAGCGTGCCAAGTGCTGTTCGTCTACAAATATTTCCCCGATGGCCGGTCTCAAGAGCCTGACCCTCAGGTCTGTGACTGTGAAGAAGTCTCTGAGCTTCTTGGTTGTGTCCAGCTGTCCATAAAGGGAAGCCATGTTGCGCAGCCGGGGCCCAGCAAAAAAGGCGAACCTGTCTTTGATTTCGAAGTTGATTATTTTGCTGTTTGTCATGTACCCCGTGGAGTACTCTTCTGTGCAAATGATCTCGAGGACCGTGTGCTGGGATAAATCCTTCACGGACTTGGGATCCATGTGAAAGGCATCTAAGCAGTCCGTGGCGTAGTACTGATATGGCTGCCATGTTCGCCCATAATCAAGAGATTTCTCCAGGATCATTTGGTCTGGACGTCCAGATTCAAAGGTAATAACTATGTTGTCTGTGAGCTCAATGGTTTTGCTCCAAGACAGAGTGATGTTAACCTGCAGAGGCTTGGGGTACTCCTTCCAAGTGGCAGACTGCCAAAAGGTGGAGGGATGTCGTCCTTCAAAATCAAACATCAGCTCAGGGGGATGAGCCAGCTCGGGGGTACTTGCGTCGCATTCATTATTGCACATGTACGGGTTGCCCTGAGGAAGAAGAACAAAAGAGAGGGCATCAAAGCACTGGTCTTGCCTCAAGTCTTGCCAGATTGCTCTTGCTGAGGCTACAGAGGGAGGAAAGACAATAGCAAACCTGTTGGCTGTACTCCTATCCGTTTCTTCATTCTACCTGGGTGCTCTTCATTAATCACTTACAAACAAAAAGCAGTATGGCAATTTTCTTGTCTTGCTCCCTTCCATAGACTTGAAGAAACAAAAACAGTTCATTCATCCCATCTGTGCTAGACCCATACTGTGGTCACAGAAACACCGAGACTCTGAGCAACAAGGTAACAAATAGCTCAATCCCTCCGCTGCCTCTTAGATAGACGCCAAGAACTTTATCTCGGCCTCAAGGATGCTCCTCAAGAGCACAGTTTGTTTGTTTGTTTTAAAGTTGTTTCTCAAGGAAAGCATTACAATTAGCAATGAACCATACAAACCCATGTCCTGTTTAGTAAATAATACCCACATAGCACGCTCAGCGTCTCCTCACATTGCCTCAAATTCATCATACTTAACTGGGTCCCTGCTTCATAAAGTTTGCTTTTAGACCATTTACTCTGTTCACCACAAATCATTAAAATGTGGTACATTACAGGCTCTGGGGCTTGGCCAACTGTCTGCCAGCCTATTAGCTAGAGACACGGGATTGCTTAGGGAAACCTTGGTTGTGGAGTAGGCGTAGTTGTGCTCTGCTGCTTGATTAGAGGAAGACTTGTGAGGAGGACTCGCCTGGAGAAGGGCTACGCAAAGGGCCTGCGGCACTCGGTGTGGTACTTTGTGCCCAGCCACATCCTTATTATCAGTGCCTCTCTGACTAAGCTGGCTTCCTGTACCCTCCACGCCAACGGGAATCCGCTGTCCTGGCTATGTTGCAAGCCGTGCCACATGCTTTGCAATGTGGGGCGAATGAGTGGTTCCCAGATGTTTGCTTGTTTTGTTTGGAAGAACACATTTGGGGTCAGTTCTCCACGTATTTCACTGGGTAATTTAGGACATGGAGGGCTGCAAGAATAGGTCTCTGACCCTCTAGGCATTCTCTTGCCATTATACTTAGACTCGTTTGTTTATCATAAGCTGAGGCTTTCTCAGCACACCCGCAGGATGGCTGCACTGTGTCTCAAGTAACGAATTTACCTGGGATGCTGATGACACTCAGCTCCCGGCTGATTCCAGTGAAATGTAAGAGGAGTGTTGGAGCATGGCTTTGGCCTCCCCAGAGGTAACTCTCTCCTCCTTAGTCAGCGAATAGTCTCCCGCTCTCTTGCCTATTAATGCAACTGAATCCTGATGCTGGCAACAGGTTTGGGGCACTCAAATATAATCAAGATGGCTTGAGAGAAAGGAGAGAAGGTACATTACTTGAGAAACAGACTTGTTTTTTAAAATACATTCAAGGTTTTGTTTCTGTACCTTTCTCTCAAATTTCAGTTCCGTATTCCTGATGCCAGCGTCTGTTTCGCTATTTATAGTCTCCCCTCTGAAATAAGCCAAGGGGAGGGGGGGGGGCAGGAAGTTTCTGTTCCAGGTGGAATAAATCGCCAAATTTGTTATTATTTAAACTCCCTTAAGCCTGCCAGGGAGCCAAATGCCGAGCTCTTCAAACTGGCAAAGGCTTTTTATGGAGGGCTATAAATATTGTGGAATCTGTCAGGATTTATAAATTCTAAATATATGTAAATGCGCACTTTACTGGAAGGGGTCAGAGTTACACAAATCCCACCTTCATTTGAAATTTACTGAAAGAAATACGGTCACTTCAAAATCTGTCAGCATGTCACCATCTGCACAATCATTGACTTGGATGCTGCCACCTTCCTTCTGACAGAAGCATCTTCATCCGAGGTCAGGGGCGGGGAAACACTGCGGATCAGCTCTGACGTGAGTTATCAGATAGCTGCATTAAGTGCTGCTGAAAGATAACGTGCTCACCTTCTGCACAGGTGTGCAGAGCTGCTCAGAAGAGGACATGGAGCTACAAGGAGAGGAATAGGGATACCTGACTGATTCTGGAAATGGGTCAGTAATGGAGTGAAATGTGTCCCTTTAACATGTTTTGGAAACCTAACCTCTGTATCAGATGAAGATCAAGGAATGTGGCCTTCGGTATGGATGACAACTCAATGTAAAGAAGACCCGAAGCCTCACAACTGGACCGATAGGTAACACCACGATAAGTGGAGAGGAAGTTGAAGCTATCGGGGATTTTGTCTTACTTGGATCCACAATCAGTGCTCACGGAAGCAGCAGTCAAGAGATCCAAAGATGAGTTGCATTCGGTAAATCTCCTGCACAAGACCTCTTTGGAGTATTGAAAATCACAGCTGTTACTTTGAGGGCTAAGGTGCTCCTGATCAAAATCAAGGTGTTTGCCCTTGCCTCATATTCATGTGAACGTTGAACCTTGAAGAAGAATCGATGCATTTGAATTGTGATGCTGGGAAAGAATATTGGAAATTCTACGCACTGCTGAAAGCACAAAGCCATCCATGTTGGAAGAGGTCAAGCCAGCGTGCGCCACGGAGGCAAGGATGGCCAGGCTGCGTCTCACATAGTCACCTTTGCATTTTCAAAGGAACATATTAGCAAGAGAGGTACGCACAGAAGGAGGAAGCCAAACTCCACAGCCGGACCCTCTCCATACCGAGGGACTAGGAGAACTAACAAACTAACAAACAGATCCGCCTCAGACGAAGTCCAGCCAGAGTGCTCCTTAGAGCAGC